GGGGGGGGGGGGCCACAAGCACAGGAACCCCAGGAGCCCCAGAGGCTGGAGAGGCAGGAAGGGCTGAGCAGGGTCTCTGCAGCTCAGGTGGGGACCTGTCTGGACCCTGGGAGGCAACTGCAGGCTCTGTCCCTGTACCCCACCGACCAGCTGTGCCACCTGGGGCAACTCACTCAACCTCTCTGAGTCCCCTTTCCTTGAGGTTAATGTGCTGACTTGCTGAGGGATGGAGACCAGCCTGTGCCACCTCCCAGCCCTCTGCCCGGCTGGGAAGCCCATCCAGGCAGTGGGCAGGGGCTCCCAACACCGCCCACCTTTGAGGGAACTGACCTTTCACCTGGCAGGCCAGGGCCTGGCTGACCACGCCTGTATCATTCTCCTTGTCCGCTGGCCACCGGTACACAAAGAGGGACGTGTGGGAGGACCCCGCGTCAAACACGATCCCAAACTGGTAGCGACACTGGGGTCAGGAGGGCCGGGGGCCGCACCCCCCTCCGCCCAGCCCGCCCCCTGCTCAGGGCCCGGCGCACCTTGGTGTCTGCGGGCAGGAGGATGCTGGTGGCCTCCACCAGGATCAGAATGAGAGTGGTGATGGCCAGGGCCACCATGGCACCCAGCATGGCCGTGAGGACCCGCTCCTTGCAGGTCAGCTTCATGGTGGGGGCAGGGCTGGACCTGGGGGCGGTGGCAGCAGTGGGCAGGCCCCGCCACTCCGCCCTCCCGGGGTCCAGCCCACCTTGCTGGGTCAACGGGCAGAGCCAAAGACCAGCCTCAGGAGCCCAGGGGCTCACAGGTGGGGGCCGGTGTGTGTGCAGAGCCAAGCGTCTGGGGACGTAGAGCCCTGAGAGTCCGGGGCCACACCTCTGTATGGCCACATCCAGGACGAGCAGGGCTGCCCGCCTGCCCCCTCCCTGTTATCTGGGCAGCCGGCNCACCCTCCCAGGACCCCTGCTCTCCCACCTCACCCCCAGGGGAAGGAGCCCCAGCTCTGCACTGAGTGGGGAGACCCAGGACCCCACCTCCCGCCCGCCTGCCTCCCCTCTGGGCCTCACCCCAGGCCTCTCCCAGGTGGGGTTTTCTCTCTGGGAGCCCTGAGGTCAGGCCTGAGGAAGGGCACAGGTGACCTCCTGCAACCAATGAATGAAGCCAGCGGGTCCTGTGAGCAGGCCGCCTCCACTAAAGGACCTCGAGGCGGAGCTAACGGAGACACCTGCTTTCCATTCAAAACCAGCCTCCAGCTTCGCCAGTCTGAGCCGAAATATCTCCCTTGGCCCCGGACGGAGGGCCCCTTGGCAGCCAGCCTGGCTGACCCCAAAGTGCAGGGCCCTCTGGATTTCCCGGGCAGGCAGGGTCACCAGGAGCCGCGGGGCAGCTGGCACCACTGCCCAAAGGAACCTGATCTCTGAGTGGGCAGCACCTTGGGGTTCACGTGGTTTTGTATATCGACTATTCCCGCAGGAAGGCAAACAAAGGTTGGGCGCTTCATTCAAACGGGGTGTGTGAGGGGAGGNGGAGGGCCCCTTGGCAGCCAGCCTGGCTGACCCCAAAGTGCAGGGCCCTCTGGATTTCCCGGGCAGGCAGGGTCACCAGGGGCAGCTGGCACCACTGCCCAAAGGAACCTGATCTCTGAGTGGGCAGCACCTTGGGGTTCACGTGGTTTTGTATATCGACTATTCCCGCAGGAAGGCAAACAAAGGTTGGGCGCTTCATTCAAACGGGGTGTGTGAGGGGAGGCAGGAGCCTCTGTCCAGGCCCTGGGCTACGCCGGGCTGCCATGGGCTGTGTGGCTCTGACCCCGTTTTAAGGAGGGAAGACGGAGGCTCAGGGAAGACAGGTGACCTGCTGCAGGGAGGCCAGGCCTAGATGGGACCCACCTGATGCCAACCAGCACCCAGGCCCCAGGCCACCTCAGAGACAAACAGGTGACAGGCAGGGCCAGGGACCCCAGGACCCCATGCCACACCCCACCTCCAGGGGATGTAGCATCTGAGCCCCCAGTGGCCAGGCGAAGGGAACGGCAGGCTCCCCAGAGTCAGGAAAGCCCCTCAGACCAGGACAGCTCCTCAGGACTGGTCAGCACCCCCTTAGAAGTGGTCAGCACCCTTAGACCAGGATAGCTCCCCGTAAGACTGGTCAGCCCCCTCACCTGGGCTGGCAGACAACCGGCTGCAGCAAGGAGGAAGCTGGAGTGTTGTCCCTCAGGCACCGGCCAAGTGCTGTCCTGCCCCTCCCCGCCTCCCCACCCCATTAGTCACCACCCTCCAGGACCTGGATCTGCAGCGGGCAGGTGACGGAGTCTGGAAGCAGGTGCGCTGCCAGCCAGAGCTGCCCACGCCCAGCTCGTGGACCCCCAGCCCCGGGTCGCAGACAGTGACTGGCTCAGGGGGGCTGAGCTCTGCCCACTGCCCAGGGTCATCCGCCCACCGAGGGTCTCCCCAACCCCCTGCTGCCCAGAGATGTCATCCCCGCTCTGCCTGCCCTTCCCCTCCTTGGAGGCTGCTGGACTTTGCCCTCCGACTCCACCCTCCCCCAGCTGCAAGAAGAGCGCCAGGGTTCAGGCCACAGCAGGTCAGTCAAGTGACCCGACAAGGGGGGGGCCTGAGGGCTGAGCCGGGGCAAAGGCCAGGGGGCGGAGCTGCAGCCTCAGCCCCCGAGGGTGGGGTGTTCCGTGCACAGCGGAACCGCCCCTCAGTGCACGGCCAGGTGGCCCCGGCCCTCCCTCCAGTGAGCCACTGTGGCCGCGCCCGCCCCGGCTGCCCCACCCCAAAATCAGCTCCCTCTCAACAGTCTGTCTTTGGGGACAAGTTCCCAGGGATGGACTGAGCCTGGCTTCTCCCACGGGCACAAGGCCGAGGCTATTGGGGTGCCAGCGATCCCCCCTCCGCGCCCACGTGGAGTCCAGGTGCACAGCTGGGCCTCCCCCGTCCAAGGCGTTTCGGGGGTTTCCCCTTTCTGACCGTGAGGAGGTGTAGGGACACTTAGGCACAGGTCCCTGCTGGACGGGCCCAGGAGACAGGTCAGGGTGGCTGGGTCAGGCCACTTTTAACTTGATTGGAAACCACCCCTCGGTTCCGGGCAGGAGGGCCCGGTCTCCCGCCCTCCTCAGTACTGGGTGTCTCAGGTTTTACCTCTAGCCCGTCGGACGGGTGGGGTGACACGCACTGTGGCGTAATTCAAACCAGGGGCTGACGTGCCTTCCCGCGGCCTAATTTGCATACATGTGCCCGATGGCCCTCCCGACAGGTGTGCGGGGGTATCTCTGCGTTTCCCGGGGTGATCGGGGGCCTTGAGCGTCTTTTCGGGGACCTGTTGGCCATCTCTGTGTCTTTGGAAAAACGCCCGCCTGGGTTGTCATGAACAGAAGTCCGCCAGGTAGCCCGTCACCAAAAAGGACTTCTTTGAGAACGAGAAAGGACCGCAGCCGTGTGTGGGCAGCCGCGGCCACGGGAGGGACCCACGGAGCAAGGGCCTCACGCAGAGCGAGGAAGTGGAAGTCGGGGGGCAGGCTGTCACAGCCCAGAGCTCCGCGGCGGCCCCGAGCCGCTCCTCTGCCCGTTTTCTAATTGGATTGCCTCTCACTGTTATCTTTTGCCGTCTGACTTCTTTACTTCGGGCATCCGCCCCTTAGCAGGTGCATGGTTTGCGTTTTCTCCCGGACCGCAGGCTGCCTTTCGTTTGGTTGACGGCCTCCTTTGCCGGCCAGAAGCCTTGTAGTTTGCTGTGGTCCCACTTGCTTTTTGCTGCTTTTGTTACTTTTGATTTGGTGTCAGGTTTTAAAAGAAAATCATCGCCGCGTCCGACGTCAAGGAGGTTACTGCCTGTATTTTCTTCTAGTTTTAGGCTCGAGTTCAAGTCGTTAATCCATTTTGTGTTACTTGGGGGGTGTGGTGTAAGACGGGTCCGATTTCATTCTCCGGCATGCGGCTGCTGTTTTCCCAGCATCGCTTATTGAAGAGATTGTCCTTTCCCCATTGCGTAGTTTTGGTTTCTTTGTCATAAATTGATCGACCACATACCCATGCCGGGGTTTATTTCAGGGTCCTCTGTTCTGTTCCACTGATATGGTTTTTTATGCCAATACCACACTGTTTCGATCGCTATAGCTTTGTAATATAGTTTGAAGTCGGGGCGTGACATGCCTCCAGCTTTGTTTTTCTTTCTTCAGATTGCTTTGGCTATTTGGGGTGTTTTGTGGCTTCACACAAATTTTAGGTTGGTTTGTTCTATTTTTGTAAAAAGTGCCGTTGGAACTTTGACAGGGATTGCATTGAATCTGTCCATCGTTTTGGGTAGTGTGGACATTTTAACATTAATTCTTCCAATTCGTGAGCACAGAATATCTTTCCATGTATTTGTGTCTTCAATCATTTTTCCATTAATGTCTTATAGTTTTCAATCTACAGGTCTTTCACTTCCTTGGCTAAATTTATCCCTAGGTGTTTTGGGTTTTTTAATGCAACTCTAAGTGAGATTGTTTTCTTAATTTCTGATAGTTCATTATTAATGTAGAAAAATGCAGCAGACTTTTGTGCATTGGTTTTGTATCCTGTATCCTTGCTGAACGTATTGGTTCTAACAGTTTCTGGTGGAGTCTTTAGGGTTTTTCTATATAAAATATGTCATCTGCAAGCAGTAACCGTTTTACTTCTGGGTTCTCAATGTGGAAGCCTTTTATTTCTTTTTCTTGCCTAATTGCTCGGCTAGAACCCCCAACTCTGTGTTCAATAAACGCGACAAGAGTGAAATCCTTGTCTTGTTCCTGATCTTGGAGGAAAGGCGTCCAGCTTGTCACCGTTGACTATGACGTTAGCTGCGGGCCTGTCATACACGGCCTTCATTATGTGGAGGTACGCTCCCTGGATACCTGCTTTGTTGAGATTTTTATCATAAATAGACGTTGAATTTTGTCAAGGGCGCCCTGCACCCATTGGGACAATGGTATGGTTTTTATCCCTGGTGGTGCGTCGCACTGGCTCATGTGATGGAGTCGCCCTGCATCCCTGGGAGGAATCCCACACGATCGTGGGATACGGTCCTTCTAACGTATTGTCGAATTCAGCGTGCTAGTGTTTTATTGTGGATTTTGGCGTCTAGGTTCACCAGGGATACTGGCCTGTAATTTTCTCTTTTGGGGCAGCCTTGCCTGGTTTTGGTATCAGGGTAATGCTGGTCTTATAAACTGTTGGTTTCACACTACTTTTTTTTTTT